AATTAGCTTCTTAGCGTAACCTAAGGTTTTAGAGGCTTAACTTATCCACGTAGATTTCATCATTCCAACTCCTCCTCTACTCCTTCTGACCCTGCTTGGTTAGCCAATATCAGCAAAAAGGGCTGAAGCTAGAATACAGGGTAAACTCTTGGTTATCTAGTCAGTGGACTAGTGTTAGTGGCAGACTGCTTCAGGGAGGTTACTGACACATACTAGTTACACGAGCATAGGCAAGTTACTTCCTCTCTATGGGCCTCCGTTCCTTATTTGAAAAACTAGAGTTTTTATATCTTTAATCTCTACCAGATTTTAAGCCACCAGAAATTAAAGACTGGGCTGAGGTCCTTCAAAACTGCACATTCTGTACTTCCCTTGCTTATAAATGCAAAGATCTCTGTTTAGATGAGATCACATTAACATTCTAGTTCAGCACTTACTTTGTGGCAATAAAGTACAGAACAGGGAACCAGCACATTATTTGAGCTTATTTCCTAACACCAGATAGCTGGGTGCTCCCGGCTTTCCTTCCCTCTTCCTCACCAACTTTGAGGCCTCTCTTTTTACAAGCTGTTCTGGCCCTGTGGGACCATCTTATGGCTTCTGTGGGGAACTATTTGACTGGTCACAGCACCATTTCTCTTTTACAAGAGATATGGGTTGTATGGGTTCTCACCCACCTGTTTTCCCTGCTCACAGACCAGATTATCCATCTTACTACATATGGATGCTTCTTCCTCCTTCCTAAATTTCTCTAAACTATTGGCTAATTCTTTTTCTGGGAAATCTTTCTCATCTCTTTTCCCCTTTCCCTAATTTCTCCTATCTCCTTTCCTTTTCCATTTGCAAACCAAAAATAACTCCATCACGGTGGATGAGATTAGTACTATGGAGTCCCTTGGATCAAGAGCATAAAAGTAAAAACATTTTAAAGTCACATTAGACCCACTAAAGAACCTCCAAAGCCTTTGAAAACACCCTCAGAGGTACCTTAAGATTCCTTCCTTAAGTTGCCACTAAACTCTCTCTTCCTCTAATTAAGCCTGCTTTTCCTCATCATCAGCATCTATGAAAAATAAAAGAACAATTTATTACACAATTTTCTTAGTTTTCAGTTTGGGCCTATAACTAGCAATACAACAAAATTGCCTTATACTTATTTGCATTGCAAATATGCCAATTTTCTGCTACTTTAAGAATCAAGTGGGTGTTTTCCAGTCACCTGGGAATCCAATCGCTGTTTTAATAACATTCTTTCTATGGGAAAATATGTGCTGAGTTCCAAACAAATGACTTCCAAGTAAAGTTTTGGAGCACGGCCATGTTGTAAATTGTGTGCTTTCTATGGGGTGTTAGAGACTATGTAGGACATTCTGGGAGACATTGATCCAAGTGCTCATATGGTGTTTTGAAAGGTTGGGGATTTTCTTATTCTATTGAGCAGTGGAATAATTTGATTACACAAAGACCCTTGGAGACAGCATGATGGTTCCTCCATAATAATAATGACAATAAAATTGCAACCATTGCACTGTGTAAATTGTTTTATGTTCATTAATGTTTTAACCCTTATAATAATCCCCAAACACAAATATTATTAGCCCTATTTCACAGATGAGAAACTTGAAGTTCAGAGAGATTAAAACACTTTGCCCAACATCACGCATCTAGTAATATGATGTTCTCACTCCATGGCCTGGCTCTTAAGCATCATAAAAAGAAGCAAATGTGTACAGCCAAGTATGTTTATAGAATGAGAGAGCTGGCATTTAAAATGCCATGGGCATACGTAGATTTGCTCTCTTCCCTCAAAGAAATCATAACTCAATCATAAAGGAAGAAAATTTCGTTATTTAGCTGGTGTAGGGCAGCAGAATTTGCTACCCCAAAATGTGTCTCTTTGGCTTGATTATTTTTAGGAACAAAAGACTCAGGAAGAAACTTTGACATCCCCCCTAACTGCCTAAAAGAATTTAAGATAAAAGGTCTGTTACAAAAGCTATCACCATAAATAACTCTAGTATAACATGAACTAGGGGTGGTACACAGGGAGGAACCTAGCAAGTCCCATTTGATCAAAGTCCTCTCCATGTCTCATTGTCTCTGCAAGACGTGGCAAACATTTATTTAGCAAACATTTGCTTTTCCATCTCCATGTGAATTGCTTTCCTCCCCATTGAAGTCCCAAACCACAAACCCCAACATCCTCCTTCGTCTTTAGCTGAAAATGGTATTTAAGGTGGTGGCTTCAGCCATTTTGGCAAGTTTCCCAGTTTCCCTGGGTTTCTCTCATGTATACATGTTACTAAATTTGTTTGATTTTCTCCTGTTATTCTGTCTTATGTCAATTTAATTCTTAAAGCAGCCAGAAGAACCTAGAGGGCAGAGAAATAGCTCTTCCTCCCCTGCACTGGTCATAAACAGTAACCTTGCACATTTAAATCAGTTTTAGCAGTCTACAAAGCACTCTTCCATCTATTATTCCATTTGATGCTCACAATAACCTGGTGAGATAAAGGGTGATCAGAGAGTAGATGTTCAAGAGCCCATTTTATAGATGAAAAAATTAAAACCCAGAGAATCCAAGCAAATTATCTATGCTCAATGATGAGAATGGCAAAGCCTGACCAGGAATCTTTCTGACTTGCTTTGGATACACTTGAGCCTGTATGGAGTATTAGAGATATGTTAGCAGACATTCAGGTCTCTGTTCTGTAGGGTTGGAATTGCTGCATCAAGTGAGCTTGGTTAATTCCTGCAAAATCTAGGCCTTTGGGAAAGGTGTCCTGTGTGGAGATCACTGCCCATGCCTCTTCATTTGCTCAAAAAGAGTGGAATGTGCAAAACAGACATCAGAAACTACACAAATGTTCAGAATAAGCTCTCAGCTCTATTGTTTTGACTACTGGCTTTAGGTCTTGTAGGTGTCGCTGTATCTAATAGTGGCAATCACTGGGAGGTAGCAGGAGAGAGATGAGGAAGAGCAGAGCAGTGGGGATGGAGAAAGCCAGCTATGGAATGGAGCTTAGTCTTGCTTCCTCCTAGCATCTCTCACTATGGCAACTACTCCAGATTGTATTTCTAAAGGCCATTGCTTTCAGCTGCTAATGATGCTCCTCTGTAAGGCATTAATACCTGAGGGAGTCCTTGGAGTCAAGAAGATACTCGCATCAGCTTTGTAACTTGGCAAACATGGACTCAAACCTCAGCTCTGCCACTTGCTCACCATGGTTCCATGAAAAACTTATTTGTGGAAGAAGAATATTAACACCTATCCTATAGGACCCTCATGAGGACTAAACACTGTAGCCCATATAAAGTTTCTAGAACAATGCCTTGTAGAGAGTAAATCATCAATAGATGGTAGATCCATTTGCATTATTCCTTTTCTTGATGATGTGCATTCTTATCCAAGGCTCTAGAGGTTGAAAGTTGATTCAAGATTTGAGTAATTCTGTGATAGTACTTTAAACCCTCTGTCAGATTTACTCATTAGTTTATCCAATGAGGTTTACTGAGTACATGCTAGTAGCTGGGAAGGCAGAGGCATTTACCGCTCATCATGTGCTCTCTGACATTTCCCAGTTGCTTAAAGATATGCAGAGTTATATGAATAGTTCTGGCCAATGGGCTAGGAGTGGAAGTGAAAGGTAGTAATTTTGGGCCAAGAATTTAAGAGCTGATATGTGATCCTCCATCTTTCTCCTGCTACAGCAATCTAGAGGTCATGTCCTTCATAAAGCATAGCTATAAGATAAAGGCAGCTTGGATCCTTCAATCACTATTTGGAATGTAGTAGCCCTGGAGATCAGCTGCTTTCATATGAGTGAGAAATAAATATTTGTATGTTAAGCCAATAAGATTTCAGGGTTTATTCTTTACTACAGAATAGCCAAACCTAACCTGACTAATGTATCTAGGCATTCTGCTAAACACTACAGATTTAAAATAAAATGTATATGATGTCGATCTCTGCTCTCAAGAAGCTTAGAGTCAGAGAAGACAGATTTCAATAACTCATTCTCTGTTAGTTGATATGATGTAGAGCATAACAGGAACCCTTTTCTGGGAAGAGTTCTCCAGGAATTTGCAAATATTCCCATTGTCTCTCAAATGGTATCCCATTGATGCTGTTCTACTCCATCTAGTCTGGACAAGCTCCAGTTCTCATCTGTCTATAAAATTAGGATATGACTATCTATCTCATAGCGATCTTGTGAGAATCAAAGGATCTTGTAAAATGCAGAATAGCCTAGTGATTAAGAAAGACTTTGGAAGTTTTGCTTCCTGTTAGGAGGTAGAATATCATAAAAAACTATTTCTCCTTTGATCCTGTTTCCAGACTCTATTACACTCCATTGATCTATTTGTCTATCTTATACCAATATCACCCTGACTTGATCACTGCTCTTGGGCAGTTCTCCCCGGATTCATCTATAGGTTCAACTTTACCCAATCACAATCCCAGGAGGCTTTGCATTAGAGGGAATTGGTACCTACTTCCAAACAAGTTTATTCCCCTGCAACTTTATTCAACTGCACCAGTCCAATTGTTTGAAAAACATGAACTTCTTTGCCTTTTAGAAGTAGTAGCCATGTCACTGTTTTCCTTTGGCTGTAGCCAGGAAACAGTGGTCAAGGTACAAGGTGTACCTGAAGGGATGGAGTGTACCTTTTAGATATTCCAGAACCCTTTCAAGTAAACATATTTTGACTCATTTTCCCTCCTAAGGACATCCATAAATGTTCCCTCAGGTGGTTCTGAGACTTAACTTCGCTAGATGTAAACTTCTCTGTAGTGTCTTTGAAGCAAATCTTCCTTTGCCAGTCCCCTCAGTGTCTACTACCTGTCTCTACAAGCCTCTCTCACTTTGGAAACCCACAATTACCACGGATGATGACTCATGCAGTCTCTGGTTCTACCTGCCACTTCCTCTCCTTCCCCAGCTCCAAGCCCCCAGAAGACACCCAACAACAAACCTGATTTTAGCATCTTCCAGTACTTGGGAAAAGTGGTGTCTGGAGGCAGCCGCTCAAAGCCTGGCTCACCGCTGGGTGATAGGAAACCTGGGTCACTAACCACAGCCCCAGGAGTACAGAAGACGGTCAAGGCTAAAAGTTAATCTTTCTCTGGGAACCGCATCCAGCTTGGAAGTAAATGAGCAACTAGGCCAGAGCAAGGTTAATTTTGAAATGAAGTTTTTTTGCTTTGCAAAATTACCTCATAATTAAATGAAATTCCTTACAAAATTAAACTTCAAAATAAAATACTTATTTGCTCCCCAACTATATATTTTCCCAATTCATCAAAGATGGTTAGAGGAAGGGAGCAGGTGATCTCAGGTAGAGAATTTCAAAAGCCCCCGTGTTGTAAAGGAAAGGCTGTCTGGGGAGGGGGTGAGGGGATGGGTTAAAAGCAACCACAGTCCAAGAACCCATGGGCAGAGAGCAGTGGGGACCCAGCCAGGACAGTGTGAGAGGCCTGACCAGAGATTAGTATGGGAGGCAGGGAGAACCATTCATGTTTTTGAGTGGAGAAGTCATTCAGTAATGTAGGCAGAAGGTTGGGAAAGGCAAATGTGGAGAACGTGTGAAAAAAAAGAATCCTCCAAGAATAGTCCTGTGGAGTTCACTAAAGGTCACTGATGAATGTCTAATTTATCCAGGTCCTTCCCTCTGTGCTCCTGTCTCAGCTCTTGCCATACCTCCTTAGGATCGCAACAACTAGCATTTATTAAGTGCTTACAATATGCCCAAACGCATGCATTATTTCATTTTGTTCTCACAGCAGGCATATGGGTAGATATTATTTCCCCCATTTTTCAGAAGAGAAAATGGAGTTAATTAACTTGCCCAAGCCCTTTGTCAGTAAAGAGCGGAGCTGGGATTTGAATCTAGCCTGTAGCAACCATTCGGTGGTGTGTGGAAATTGCAGGCTATTCCGAGGACCATGACAGTGGGATTTTCCTACCTTTTAGAATCTGTGGTTGGAGTAAAAAATAACTTTCCTGCTGATCTGTTACATTTTCCCCACTTGTCTCCTTCTCATTTGCTGAGTGTAACTGCTACTTGTTGTATTAGCACTAGATGGCAGTATTACCTCAGAAATGCTCGTCAAAGTGGCCTTATTCTGGGATCTGGAAATTCATTTTCCCTAGTAATTTTCACCCTTCCACAATCAGCCTCTAGGCCACGCTCACCGTCAGCTCTCGCATCACCTGGCCTGCTCACTGTCCTCTGATCCAGACTTTCCATGGCCGATTTCCAATCTCAGATCTCATCTCTCCCTTCCGGGAGACCTTACAGTGTGGTGGTGGAGAACACAGACGCTGGAGCCTCACGCCTGAGCACAACTCTGCAGCTACTCACTCACTTCCACACACACAACATCTCCCACACTTTAATGAGAAGGAAATGAGTTAATGCTCATTACATGCTGGTAGCAGATAGAACAGTAGAATTTCTCCTATTTGATTCTCAAGTTTGAATCTAACATGAGGTCCTAGGAAACTTTTGAATCTGATCCCTGCTAAGGAACATTCTCTCTTCCAAGGTGACATTAGTGTCAGGCTTTGATGCCTTAGCCTAAGGGAATTAATCTCAATGGAGGCATAGAGGGCCACAGGCTGAGGTATTTGAGGTGAGGTCTTTTGCAGCATATCTTGAATTCCAGAATCTGGGTTCATGACGGACCCAACCTTGGATCTGACATTGGGTTCAACAGGGTAGCACCAGTGGGCTTAGAGGATGTTTCAGGATGAGGTTGTAAAGAGACGTTGGGTTTTTTTCAGGTAGTCATGGGGTACCTGTCGAACAACGTGCCTGCTTACTTTGGGTGAAGAGAAATGATGGATCATTCCTGAACAGTCATGGCCCAGCTTCTGAGAGAGCAAATGTGGATCCATGAGCAGAAAAGAATGCCCGTCTCCCACGACGGAGGGCACTCTGGGCCTTCCTGGTTCCTGCTGTGCTACCCGGCCATCTGTCTTGCTTGAGCTGATTCCAGAAGTCAGGACGAGCTCTGGACTTTGAGGTTTGTACTCAAGCCCATCTGGGTTAAAGACCTACCTGATCCTTTGGAGCTGAGAGCAGGTTAATATTAACCTTGGGTTGTTGTAACCCAAAGCCAAACCAGTCATGGATGGGGCCAAGTCAAACCAAGGGGCAGTGTGCATCTTTCTGCAGCCACTGAGCCCCTTATAGGCTATGAACCCCGTGGTTGTGGCTGCACTGTGAGTGGGGGCAATTGTGCAGAGTGAATCACAGGGAGGGACGGGGAGACAGACAAAAGAAGGGCTGGCTGGGGAGCATGGTTATAGGCCGGTGACTTGTGATGGGGCTGTTTTGTTTGTCCTTGTTTTACAGGCTCTAAAGTAGGAAACAAAAGTGTCTCTCCAGCTGCTGAGTTTGCTACATAGATCAGATTTGATTGGAAGCAGGTGGAGTTTCTGGATCTGGAGGTGAGCTAGGTAGCAGGAGCTGGGATTGTGAACCTTCTCAAGATCGTGGAGAAAATTGGGCTGTGGGTCCAGGACAAGAGTTCAGGATCCCAAAATCTGCTGGGTGCCTGGGGTCATCGGCGTGGGTGTCCACATGTGAGATGATGTGGGATCAACAGCCATTTGATGTGAGAGCCGTTGGCATCTTGGAGATGGTTTGTATTCTTTGCAAGGCTTATGCTGATCCAAGATCAAACACAATTTATATGTGAGTTAGGGGGCAGGAGAGGGACAGTTGGTGCAGGAGAGAAAGTTTCTTCCAATGAGAAAGCAGTAATATCCTCCCTAAAGTCACCTTATATTGTGACATTCTCTGTGCTCAGATACCAGGGTGATAAGGTGTCATAAGGTGACCTGTGATAAGGTGTTTAATGGGCCTAGCGCTATGCACTATGCTTAGTACTAGTAAGTGCTCAATAAATGGGAGTTAGTTTTACCCTCAGTAATAATAATTAACAACTTTTATAGGACATTTACTATGTGTAAGACAGTGTTCTAAGGGCTTTACATGTATTAACTTACGAGGTAGGGATCATCGTTGTCCCCATTTTACAGACAAGGAAACTGAGGCACACAGAGAAAAAAGTAAGTTGTCCGAGATCACATAGCTAGCATGCAACAGAGCCAGGATTCAAAGCCAGGCAATCTGGCCCCAGAGTCCACTCTGTTAACTATTGTGCTATTCCTTAATACTACAGAGAGGAGCTTATAGGAGACCAGACGAGGAAGAGATTGCTTCTGGGTGGGATAACTAAGGAAGGGACCTGGATAAACAGGTGTTTCAGCTGGCCCTCTAACATAAATTCAACTCTATTTTCTGCTCCCAACCCAACCCCTTGGGTCTGAAACTGAGCCCACAGGTCCTGCTTCTACATGAACAGGGGTAGGAGTATCAGCTGAGGGCTCAGACCTGCTGAACCCAGAGCCCGCCAGGAGTGGGTTTTCCACTCCTTGGGACCTTAGACCCAGCGTGCAAAATTAGGAAGGATGCTCAAGGAGCAATGAGGGAGGAAGGTGATACAGCTCAGCCCACCAGGCAGGATCAAACCCAACAACAAATTTGATGACAGGTATTCAAGCCAGGTCACTTTCATATCCAAGAGAAGCTTTGTAACAAGTCACTATCCCATCCTTGAGTAATCAGAGCATTTATTTGCAGTCTGTTAGCTAATTGTTCCCATACCGAGTGCAGATCTTAACTAAACACCCTAAGTAACATTTAAATTTCTGGTCTCCATTAAGAACTGGTTGATAAATTACCATGCCCATATCCTGCCAGTAGAGTTTAATTTCATTTGCTTAAGATTGCAACTGATTTCTGAGATCCCTAAAATAAGATATGAAGTAAATATCACAAGATATGAGGTAAATGCAGTAGAAGATGTGGATTTGCAGTCAGGAGAGGGAGGGTGCATGCCAGCTGCACAGCTCTCAGCAAGTCACATCACTCCTCTTGGCTTTAGGTCACTCAAAACCAAAATGAGGACAGTAATTCCTGTTTCTACACACCTGCTTGCTAGAGTGGGTGTGAGATTCAAATAAGATACAGCTGCGTTCGAATCCTGGCTCTGCCACATCCTACCACGAGCTTGACTGTTACTTATTTAATTTTCCAAATCTGGGTTTTCATCCCTGTAAAGTGAAGATAAGTGAACACCTTACAAGATTGTTATAAGAATTAGGTAGTGTATATAAAGCACCTATCACAGTGGGTGCTCAGTAGATGAGAGCCTCAATATTAAGCAGGCTGCTTGTTTGAGTTACACAAGGGCACCATCAACCAGATGGCAGTTTTCTCCATCAAATGGCAGATCCACTCAGTTGACAACCAGCCTCTGTTGAACTAGGCACCAGATCCTGCTGACGAAGCTCACACAGTGATGGCAACCATACCGGGGCTGTGATTTGTAGCCCAAGTTTCAGCCTCCCTGATGCCCCTTGTCCTCCGGTCCTATAGGGCCACCCCACTCTTCAATATTAAATAGCAAATAAACTGGCTCTAGCTCCCATCTCACATAGAGTAGGAAATTCTCATCCCTCCCCTCCATATTTCCATAGATTCTCAGAGGACCAAAATTTCTTTTAGATGCTTCCAGAGTTCCTGCTTCTGCTGCATCCTTGGTCTCTGCTTGTGTCTTGCCTCATGTAGCTGTTTTCTTTTTTTCATTCTCCATTGAGCCAAATGTAAAACATGTCTCCTTTTCTCTTCCATTAAGGTTATTTCTTTTTATCTCTTAACACATACAAATAATCAGGTTGGTCTGTTATTATTTATCTGAATACAAGGTTTTATTCTAGTGTCCACCTGTATTTCTGCTTTTTGAATTTCCTGTACTTCTTGTATAGAGTGGCTTCTGATATTCTTACTTCTCTTAAATTCACAGTTAATCTTTATACGCAGGTGCAAGCATGTGACCCAATTATGTATTCTTCTCTGTTCGTGTGTGAATATATACATAGTGAAACACATTCTTAAAATCTATGTTTTCACTTTTACATTGATTTTTATAATAATGTGCATAGGTTATATTATGCATGAATTTAATTATAGGGTAGTAAAG